ATTTGCATGTTTCGTTTTTGAATTATTGAAATTTTAAATGAGATAATTTTAATATTTCATGAAGAAAGCTTGATAACCAAAAACGGGTTGCGGCATTGAGTTCAGCATAAAAAAGTAGTTGAAAATGATGGGTCACAACACCACATTCATATTTAAATTAATTTTGTCACATTTCAAAATGGCGGATCCAAGATGGCGGCCGAAAAAAATACATCCGTCATAAGCAAGTGAAAATAGGTCAACAATGAATGATGGTGTATACTCATCTTTATGTAGCACTATTTTGAGATTATGGTCTTAGTTTGTACATGCACAATGTTAAAATGGGCTAAAAATAAAGTTATAAAAAGTCCTTATAACTTTAGAACGGATCAAGATCTTTAAAAACTATTTGCGGCATTGTAATCAGCGTAAAATTATTCTAATTTAGATAAATGGGTCACAACCCTACCTTTACATTAAAAAAAAAAACTTTGTATCCAATATGGCGGATCCAAGATGGCGGCCAAAAATTTATACCCAGTCAAAATGAAGTACTTACTACTCTACAATGATCTGACGTGGTCCGGAGTTGATATCTTAAGAATTGTAGAAAAAAGTAGGGGGGGAACTCATTTAAAACTCACCCTGTATAAATATACAGACTGTCCCAAAAGTCCCAGACCGGTTTAATATTTTCTAAACGACAACAGATAAATCAATAAGATTTTGCACATCAACACCACATTTAAAAATCTACTTTTTTAAGGGACTATCAATTTTCTGTCATATCATAGGAACGTCCCGCAAGGAGTCAGAAGGAAATCTTAAATAGAAGCATTGGTTGACATGCACATCAAATTAAAGACCTTTGCTAGTAGATTACAATGCCGTAAATTCAAGCTCAAAAGAACGCCTGAGTAACAAATGGCAGCCGTTCAAAGATTTCTTGAACCTGCCATTTTGAATCTTTGAACGACTGCCATTTTTTACTCAGGCGTTCTTTTGAGCTTGAATTTACGGCATTGTAATCTACTAGTGAAGACCTTTAATTTGATGTGCATATCGACCTATGCTTACGTTAACAATTTTTTCCCGATTTCTAGGGCTGTGCCTCCAAATGCAAATTAAATGAATCTTTGAACCACTGTCATTCTTGACTTGGTTGTCCGTTTGAGTTCAAATTTGCGGCATTATATTCTGCTAGTAAAGACCTTTAATTTGATGTACATGTCAACCTATGCTTCTATTTAAGATTTCCTTCTGACTCCTTGCGGGACGTCCCCATGATGTGACAGAAAATTGATATTTCCTTAAAAAAGTAGATTTTTAGGTGTGGTGTTGATGTACCAAATCTTATTGATTTATCTGTTGTCATTTTGAAAATATTAAACCGGTCCGGGACTTTTAGGACAGTCTGTATATGCAGAGTGTTCAAAAGAAGGTGGAGAAATGATCTACGTTGTGATTTCTTGTGTTACTCTTGTGTAATTCTTGATTTTATCTTTATTTTGATTTAATGAATCACTACGTAAAATATGCCCCCACCTTTTTGAACACTCTGTATAATCCAATGGATGTTTTTTCGTTTGCCTGTCGTATGTTTGTCCTTTATGCGTTACCAAACCGGCCAGCCAATTGTGATGACACCTTGGGAAGATGTTCTAAGCACCCTCAAGAAGGCTTCCGTCCCATTCCTATTCTTCAACTCCCTTTGAGCTCCCCTTAAGTGGCTCTGAAGTTTCCTATGTCTACCTTATGGTATTCATATTTAAAAAGAATCGAAGAATATGGACAACTATATACAATAAACTAACACGTTGGGTTTTATGATGGTGAATAGCATTAAAAAGTTACAAGGTTTAACAAAAGAGCTCAGCAATATTATATTTTTTGTCCCCGTTGCAAAGCACGGGTTAGGAAGCTAGTTTTAAATAAAAAAATTCAATAATCTATTTCAAATTTACGTTTTGGAAACAGTCCTAATCTTGTCTATTGATTTTTAAAATAAGGGTAAGGGGGTTGCACTACTCCAATGTTGCCTTTATTTTCTGGTTTATAGACAGCTTTACGAGCTGGTAAACATTTCTCAAAATCCATAATACGACAACATGACTGACCACTGTTAATATACAGTAATCAGGACATTTTATTTTCACTAAGCCAGTGACTAACTTTATAATTACGTTAAAACGCGTGTTCCTCCTCTTCCAGACGTAGTGTGTTTAGTGCCGGATTTACTCAATGCTCCCGCCTATAGGAGGAGATTCCCTGTAATCGCGGTTACGCAGGGAAATCATCATAACGGGGATGAAATGTTGAATAAGCATCATTATATCAATCAACATATAGCTAGTTCACAGGTCATAATCGACACCCTTGGTTGTAGCCTTGAATTATTAATTAAAAAAATAATAATGGATATTTTTTAAAATTTATTGTTACAAGACTCCTTGGCCTCTTTCGCTTTCGGACCTTTCTTGCTGCACTGAATGTACTAGCTGTGTTTCCGAACTCATTCCTCTTTAACACTAGACAATGTTATACTATTTTGCGTACTGCCTTTGCCGTCCTCGTTATTTAATGTATTGTCGGCAGCAGTGTACTGTACTAATGTTGGCATACCTGGGACGACACCACAGGTCAGGTTGTGCCGTGGTCGCTGCGCCTGCACACACAGACAGACAGCCCGCGAGTCTCGGCCGCGCGAGGTGGGCGTTCCCGCGAGCCCGGCGCCCTCGTAAATCAACGCATCCTTGTCGGTAACTAACAAACTAGGCCAGATGCCCTCACAAAAAACTTGTCTGTGCCTCTCACCCCTATCAGAGCCCGGCTTCCCGTCTTACGCTAGATAGCACGCTTCGTTCTAACGCGACCCATCTAATTATAGCCTCCCACTACGTATCAGTTACGTTAATAGGCATCACTATATGTACCACTATTCATCATCAGGATATTATATTTCTTGACTTCCTTAGAAGGTATAGGGTACAGAAATTAATTTGTATAAAAATACTTAAATTCTGTTAACAGGATGTATCAAACAGGACCGGGTCTCAGGCATTTACGGCTGTGCCATTTAATTATTGCCAGTTTAAGTGTAATGAAAGTATGTGTGCACAAGTGTGATTTATAAGCTGTTATATAACATGTATTAGTGCAATATTATGAGTTGAGTAGGCCTAAAATAAAATGATGAATTTACATTATTTATCGATAAAGTACTATATAAAGCAAGAATAGATATCTTTGAACATGATTTCTCGGAAAGGCCTTCTTATTAGTTAATTAACCTAAATGAATGTTAATGAAATTTAAATCGCAGGTTGCTGTAGGTAATGAGTAAATGTTTTTAGTGTATTCAGTTAGGGTTCTGGTTTTTACAAATATATACTATCAGTAGCCAGCACACCAAAACATTTCGTCTCTCGTCGTTTAATCGTATTATAAGAGGACAATTCAAATATAACTGCAATTTCTATTGCAAATACTATTTAACCATTAAAAAAATTGCGTTACAAGTTAACTTTCACCATTATTGAAAATAATGTCACTCATGTGAAATAGATGCAAACAGAAGTTCCTAATTACAATAACATCTTTGAATGTAAGATAATAAGATACTATTTAGTATTACATTTAATCAGGTACGAATGATATATATATATATATACATGATGTATATACATATATACATATATTTACATATATGTATGCAACAAGCCAATACAAACTGGAAATACAACAGACACATACACACGTCATAACCCTATGACTAATGTTTGTCAGATTTTCTTAGTTGCCCTAATCTTTGACGATATAAATGAAAGAGAAACGAAATTGCAATGAGCTAAAAATGGAGTTTGTTGTTGTTGAAAGCTTTTGATAGTTACAAAATTCCTTTAAATAAATCTGATCTTTTCTGATAAAAATCAAAATAGCGAGTGTGCTAGGTAATTTTATATTATTAAAATCCATATTAGTTGTATAGATAGTATGAAATATAACAATATAAAAATATATAGAATTGTATAATTGGTCATTACATTCTTACAAGGCTTTATTTTTTTCTGAATGATTGTTATAAGGTTACATCTGTAAGACATCGTGTAAAACTTTCTTTCTTTCTTTCTTTTGTCGGTGTAAAACTAGATAGTTAGAAAGTAAGTGTTTAATCTCGGTGGTTTGTTTAACGTATTAACGTCTCATACGTAGATATAAGTATGATATAAGTAAAGAGATTGAATATTAAAAACCCTGTTTAGCCCAATGTGTATTGTTTAGTGGTATATAAGTGTCTTTAACTGTTAAAGGACCACAGATGAAAACAATGTTTCAAGTTAGATCAGTAGTTACTAAGGTATTACATGGCAAGGATCAGACACATTAGCAACGACCCAGACCGGGGTAATGACCTAATCAATGAATGCCTCTGCTCCGTCTGATATCTCATAGTCTATAGTCATATGGTTGGCTCTGTTTAAACTTTTGTAATGAATATAGGCGTAGAAAACATTTAAATTCGTTAAAATATGAGTGGATTCAAAACAACTTTTAAAAAAGAGGATTCATACACAAATTTTTGATTCGAACATTTTACAAATCCATCACCAATCACCGTATGTAAACCACTTTTTTCAATATACAGTAAAACAACGGTCTCGATAAAATCGAGTTTAAACTTCTGATTGAATCAAACTGTCGGATGTGATCATTTCAAGGGCAGGTTAATCTTTAAGATAAAATCTGTTTAGTAAAATGGATTCTCCGTCTTCCGCTAAGAGGCATCAACTGAAGATAATCAGATTTCGTCCTCAACGACCTGTCAAATATTGAGAAATCTTAAAGAGGGCAAATTTTGTAAGCTTTAATAAAAGCGAGGTGAGATCAGGTGGGTGTAAGGGTCGTGGTGGAGTGATGTACAGAGGGGGGGGGGGGGGGTTGCGCGGGAGTCTGCGCACTGGACCACGGCTGTAAGCTCCTCAGTAGCGTGCGCGCCGCCGTGCCGACCGTGTCACCGCAGTGGACCAGCTCCGTAACATGCATATACATTTGTACATTAACACCGGTCAGTGTGCGACACCGTACGTGCGTCGCGGACATTGTAACCGATGGTCACGTGGTACAGGTGTTTATTTTACCGATTAGAAAATTAATAAAACAATGAGTGCTCATAACAAATCAAAAGTGTATCGGCTGTGGAAACCGGACTCAAAGAATACTTACGACCAAGACTGTTCAGGATAAACATTAGTCAATCGTAACTCTAATGTGACCGAACAACACGTCGGAGGGTCCAGTGCCACGAGAACACGATATGAGATTACCGTTATTGCAAATGATATTAAGCTGTGATTCGTACATCCAACGAAGAGTTTTTGATTGAGAGACGAGCCGAGTGGTTTTTAGGTAACTTGCCCAACTTGGTAATATATGGTCCATTATTCGAGCTCCGCAAACTTTCTAAGAGTTTGGAACGGATTACGGAGATCCTAAAGTACTTTTACTGGAGGAGGCAGAATTAAATTACTCGTAGCAGAAGGTTTTTTGATACGGTTTTTGCAAGGTACGATATCACTGTTTAGGATTAAAAAGTGTTCCTCTCTCTAGAATTTTTACTAGATCTTTAATTGATTTATTGCATCGTCAATAAATTCGAGAGTTGTAAAAATGTTAAAGTCGATTTAGATGTTTAATACTCACTATAATCATTGTTACCCTCATAAGTTAGGACCATCTTGTTACATTGTCTATACATTGTTGTGACTTAGACTTGTTATAAATTTCTTCTCTTCGTGTCCTCGTTACTTCTTCCAGTGTTATCGTGTAAAGTGTTGTGTAGTGTAACAATGATCTTCTCTGCTCTTCTTGTCTTCGTGTTGGTACAGCGAGTCTTGGCTTCGGGGGAGGACTTCCTCTCGGAACTCGATAGACCAAGTAAGTTGGCAGCTATTCTCAATAGTTTATGGATAACGAATAAACAGAGTGTTTTGCACGATTTACATCCTGTAATGTCTAGCTTAGGGTAAAAAAATGTAATAAGTCAAATGAAGAAAATAAGGTTTTACCATTTGAGGTAGGTTTGTTATATGTACCTACTGTAAGTTAATTATTCTAGTTCAAAGGTTTCACCCTCTCAGACGTATTTTATGGATAAACATTACTTAAATAATTAAAGTGATAATTTACCTTTTATCAATTTAGAATGAGAAATCGATGTTGACCATATTTAAAACTAAAATTAACAACTAATTAAAACTGACTACAACCATATTAACACGTATTAAATTAGCTTTGCAAAACGTTCCACATGGTACTCTAGACGACAAAGTATTGCTAGACTAAAGTAAACTGGTTTAAGTAAAAGCCTTTCAAAATGTCCACTTCAGAAAAACTTTTATCCAAACCAAGGTAAACGTTATTTCGTTTCAGGTATGGGTTGAACAATATTCCGAAGGTGTCCTGCAGAAAGTTATGTGTATAACAAAATTATGTGTAAATGGTATACTAATCATAAAATATTATGATTTCGCATTCTTTTAATAATTAACATATTCTCCAAATGAAAACTGTTATGATTGTAAAAGCTATACGAGATATTACGTATATTTAACTACATATTACGAATCCCGTTCCGGTTAGGCCCGGTAAATTAAATATTTCTTTCCCTTTTATGATTTATAAATACACAATTGCTAGTGAAACATTGAAAAATGTTCTTACCTTTCCCAATTTACAAAAATACATCACAAAAAGGTCAATAGAACGCAACATATATTACGTTGTGAGTTTTTATTGACATTTTTTTTAACTTTATGTATTAGTTCAGGTGAAGTACAATCGATGATAAAAAATGTAATGTTTATTTCTGAACATGGACTATATCAATACAGGACTGTTTACCCAATCGCTACACAAGCGGAAAATCCCAGAAACCACAATAATTTCCCCAAAGCTTTGCTATAAACCTCTGCGCCGGCTGCTGCAGCTCGAAAGATGATGATGAGTTTTTGATGTGGATTAAATTTCCTACTTTGTATATTTCACACTGATTGATATGTAGTTTTCCATTTTCGATGTTTGAGATCTTGCATCAGACCTCTAGCCTGTTTAAAATATGCATACGAATGAAATAAAGTCGAAAATCTAAATTTTATTCAGTCGCTCTCCCAACACCATATCTATTCAATTGAATAAACTATAAAAAAATATTATTGTTTATTCCTATAATATTTGAAGAAATATTTATATTTTATTGATTTTATTCAATCAATCACTACAGAGATGAGACTTCTAAGTATCTAAAACGTTAAGGAGTTGAAACTGTTAAAAATAGTCTGTGGTGGATTAGTTTTAAAGTACTACCTTATCTTTATCAACAATAATAAAACATAATTGTAAACGTATACAAAGTAAATTTTAGAATCCTACAAATGTATTTGATTAATGATATATCTTATCTAACCTTATCTAAAGTAGTTTTCTACCAGCCATTTTTTTTACAAATAAAATCAATAATTTTAACGTGCGTATCCATTCTAATAAACGAACTGCAATAACAGACAATGTCTTGCTACGAAATTGGTTTCGCTACACTGGAGTCAATACCAGTAAAAACAAATCTTAAAGATTAAATTATCTGCTAACGCACGTCTGTCTATTTATACTCATCTAAAGGTGATTGATTATTGGATTGTTCTCGTCTTTGGTAAATATAAAATCTCCTATAAATGGAAATTATTCAGTGATTACAGTTCTTACTTAATTGAAAATGAGTCGTAAAAATCAAATGAATTAGTAATGAAGGTATAGTCTAAGTAAAATACAAAAATACAAACTCGAATTTGCTAAACAATCAAACTACAACGGTTTATTTATTTTCCATTACAATAACATACGGATGTAAATTTACAATTTTATTTCTCCGTGTAGGCGTGGACTGTCAACGCTCAACTGTCATATTTCGCTGTAGGCCTGGACGTCAGTTTTTTGTGGGGTTTTTTTTACTCTACATAATAGTTTATAAATAAATGGCAAAATATTTAAGGGTCAAAATAAAAAAAACTTTTTTTCATTAACTCTTATTTTTATCGTCCGAATTTGCTGGTTCGCATAAATGTGGTCGAATAAATGTGGACTTACAAATTGTAACAATTTTAGTATGAAGAGAAATGCTTCCTTTCGATCCACATCTAGCTTGGGATAACACATTCCACGAATGAATAATTATCATTGTTTATAATTAATCAGTCCTGTAATGTTGTTAGCAAGGGAAATCATTATTTGATCTTTGACACATTAGGTCAACAATCACAAGTGGGTGAAATGCGGCACGCAAGCATTTGACACGAATACATATACAAATATACGTTAGGATCTATGACTTTGTATACAAATATTCAGATTGTATCCTATGTTTATGATATTTTTTCTATTCTTATATATAGGCCTAACATTACATGTTGTTATTGCTTGTCTATAATTTTTGTGAAGGACTTGTGTCCTGAAAACATCAAATATGATTTGAATCGAATAGCTTTGTTATGTACTCAAATCTGTAGCAGCGACTTCATGAAGCCTTCATTGTCATTATTATTATTAGCTGTGGCCTAGCTTGGTCCATCTAGTAAAATGGATAAAACATCAAAAGGTTTATTTCAATAACGAGAACTTTCGCTGAATTGAAGATCTGATATAGGTGTTATATTGCTGGGATACATGATCAAAATTTCAATTCTACCCTTTGATTTTAAAAGTTTTGACCCCATATTTAGAACCTTAACTAATCGGTTAATAATGACAAGATACGGTTTTTATTTTATGACAAGTGTAAGGTATTTTATGGAATGTTTTAGGCCCTTTTGACAGTGTTTTGTCATTCCCGATACATGGCATTGTACAGTACCGTAATTTATACATATACTTAACTAAGTATATACTAATAGTATAAGTATAAGTACTGTACCTTATGGTCTATGGGATGTGCAAGCAAATAAATTCCCCGGCAATACACGGAGCCTAGGTGAAGCAAACTAACTTCTATCTCGCTAAGCTCTCTGTTTATGGCAAACAGAGTGTTACACACAACAATAGCTGACTTAATCGTAAACAACAATATTGCATTATCTACATTCTTGTTTTAAAGCATAAGCATTATTTTCGTCACAAAGTATAGCGGAAGCTGATGCTGGTGTGAAATGGGATAAAAGTAGTATTTAATTCCAAGGGCAAAAAGAATATGCGGTGTACCGTATATATATATACTGATTTTTCCAAAGAAAACGGGTCCGCTGAAAGAAAACTACCGTATTTCTGTTGGATTTGTATTTTTTAATTGTAAAACATTCTATATGACATTTCAATAAACCCCTTTTCATCGATTATATACCTAATTGAAAACTATATTTGTTACTCAAACAATTATTGCTGGCAAATATAACTTTTTCATCTTAAATAAACAAATATTCGTGTTAAATGAAACCTGAAAAAACCCCGTTCTGGAAGCTAATTTACGAAGGCAAATAAGCACGGGATCGTAATTTTGTATTATTAATTTTGGAAAGCGGTAAAGTTTGGCAATAGTTATTTGTGTAGATAGTGCACTCGCGTTATACATTATATTTTTCCTTCACTTACTTGACAACCCACTTGAGCTTTCTTGCACTGATTATAGCACGCAAAGTAGCTAATTGCTGCATTTACTTACTTTTGCCACTCTCCAGTATTCCAGCTAAACATCACAAAACAGTGTTAAAGGCACAATGTTTTGTGTGCAACGAGTAAAGGTGCTAGGCGAGTAATACGTGAACGTTTGAAAATAAGTTCATTTATTTGCTGTGTCACTATACTCAGTTGAGCTAGTGGGCCTATCTATATCAACGACTACGATCGGCTAGTGCAGTTTCCCATTTTTTTAACGCTTTGATTTATAAACTTGTTGTCTAGTGTTTGAAAGACTAAATTACTTTATAGTAACTGCTTTATAGTAAGAATGCTTTATAGTAACTGTAGGAAATAGTTCTTCACAAGGGCAAACATTTTTAGTGTTGTTAACTATCTGTTGTGTGGAAAATAATTAGTGATGAAATATACAATTTTGAATAATTTTATTTGAAATGTTAATTAATTTAGGTTATTGTTAGTTGTTTATTAGTCACCGTCCTATGGTATAAAACGTGACGCTATACTTAAACGGCATAATACTATGTAATATTGTCGTCTAGCTTACGATTATGTGGCGTATGGATTAACTTTATTAATATCGTGAAGGTTATAAACATTGTTCTAGACTACGGCGTTTGTGCTAGTTGCAAATGAAGGTGTTATCTGATATAAATTGTGTAGCTTAATGTCAGTTATCTTAAAATGCTAAAATGTAACAGCAGTTTAGGTTAGGCAGTTTTTTTGTTTTGTGCATAGGTCAAGATTTATATAAGATGTGGATGTTGTTAATTATTTGCTATAAAAGTGAACTTATTTGGAAATGGCAACATGTATATGTACAAACGATAAAAAGTAGGCTATATACTTTCTTTTACATAGCTAGATTTTGTAAAACATCAGGTAGTGGTCACACTACCTGATTGGGAATTGAAACACGACCTATGAAAAGCATAAAACCCGTTGTTCTTCCACGTAGAGCAACTAAAAAAGTTACACGGTGATAACCATTTTAACGTGTTTTAAATGCAAATCTGTCAGCATTGCAAGCTCCGTCTATCGTGTAAACAAATCAACAAGCTGTCTTCATATGGCGGGTATTTTAAACAATTCTATGTTTTTCTTTTACATATAACCTACCTTTTTATATAAAGAATTTTGTTTTCATTTTTATTTTGTGAACCCTTTAGGACAGAAATACACTAATATATTTGTGTGTGATGTGTGTTGGCTTTATTGACTTTTGTGATATATATATATATATATATATATATATA